TAATAATTCTTAAAATTAAATTACTATACAGATTAACTAACCCTGTGTTGCTATGAGATTTGCAAAACTTTAAGTGTGGGGAAAGTCGCATGATGCTCCTTTCTTGCAATGCCCTGTCTCCCTGGTAGTACTTGCACACTCTATGTCCTTTGAAAGGAGGCCTAGAAGAACCTCCGCTGCCACCACCACCTCCACCTCCGCTTCCAAACGAAGACTGTCTATTCCAAGGTTTACCTCCATCATGACTGGAATCACCAGCCTGGGATCCCCTATCTCTTTGATTCGAGAGCCTGTCTCCATTTTGATTCTGTTCATTTCCCCTCAAACCCTGATTCCCTGATTGTGGAGCCCAACCAGGATTTGCATTCCCAGGAGTTGCCCCTTGACCAGGGCCAACCCAACCCGGATTGCCATTAATATGAGCTGGGCCTTGACCTGGTGGCATCCAGCCAGCAATTGCATTTCCAGAGTTTTGCCCTTGGCCTGGCACCGCCCAACCTGGATTTGCATTTCCATGTGCTTGCCCTTGGATAGGTGCAACCCATCCAGAATTCGGGTTTCCTTGTGATGGCCCTGGACCAGAAGGTCCCCAATTCATGTTTGTATTCGTTGGTATTGGTCCCCAGCTAATGTTTGGATTTCCAGGCATTGGCCCCCAACCACTATTTTGGTTCTCTGGTCCTTGCCTTGGTACATTACTTTGGTTGTCTGTAATACCTACACCCCAAGGTAAGTTTGGCAGTGGTACAGGAGCCTGAACAGTTGATTGACTTGGAACTGGAAGCCTCCAAGAATCAGATGGTGGAAACCCCGGTTGGCTCTGAGAAGGGAAGACCACAGCAGGATTTACTGTGCTAAAGGTTGAAGCAGAATTCTGACTAGACGAGGAAGCATTGACCCAGTGACCATAAGCAGGAGGTTGGGCTGGCAGAGAAGAAGCATTTCCCCAGTGCTGAGATCCACTTGTGGGTGTTGGGGGCAAAGCAGTAACTTCCACTCTTGGAACAGAACCAGAAGGATTGGTTAAGGCACCAGGGGAATCAAGCACTGGAAGCCGGTGGGGATTAGCCTGTACTCCTTGTGACTCACCTGTCATCGCAGGTTGAGAATGTGCTTGTGGGGCTGTGGGGCTCAAAAGCATATTATTAGGAGCTGGACTCGCACCATGGGATGAACTAGAACCATTTACACCTCCGCCTACTTTTAGTGATGATTGTGGAGTAGATGAATGGGTCAAC